TCTTCGACTATGGCTACTTGCCGACTGGCGGAAGCCGGCATCGGAGCCTTACGCTTGTTGTCGTTCTGGTATGGGCACCGAGTGGACTCTCCAGCCGGCGTCTTGGGAGCCGACGCAAGCACCTTCCCGGAGGCGTCGACTCGAAGCTCGGTCTTCATGGAGGAGTCGGCCGTGGCGTATTTGTCCGCGATGATCAGCAGCTCGTCGAGGGTAGCCGGTTCGTCACAAAGGAGTTGGTGCTTGAGGAGAGTGCCCTCGTGGCGCCCAGCGGTGGAGTACTCTATGGCCTGAACCTCGTGCACCCCTTCGCAGGAGTTGCGGAGCTCGGCCCAACGCGTAAGGTAGTCGCGTGTCGACTCGTTGGGTCCTTGTACGCACAAGGAGAGCTGTCGGGGCTTGGGGGCCCATTTGTAGGTGCTGTGAAGTTGCGGATGAAGGCTTCCGTGAAGTCGAGCCAGCTGTTGACGCTGTAGGGCTTGAGGCTATTGAGCCAGGTGCGCGCCGTGCCCTGGAGCATCAGGGGGACGTATTTTACGGCAACACGCCGGGTTACCGTTGGCTATGCGAATCGCGGTGGAGTAGTCGATCAACCAGTCATCTGGCTTCACGGAGCCGTTGTACTTGGGCGTGTCTCTTGGGAGTGAGAACCCTTTGGGAAAGGGCTCATCGCGGATGCGGGGGCCGAAACAAGGCGGGCCGACATCGTCTTCTTCTTCCAGGGCCAGGGATCGCACAAGGCGGTCGATCCGATGGCGGGCATCGTTCTCGCCGACTCCTTCGCGGCGACCAAGTCGGCCGCTGAGAGTCGGATGCGTGACAGGCGGCGGGGTGGGATATCTCTTCCCACGAGGCGGAGGAGGAGGCGGATCGCCTCGTCACTCCACGGCTCGAGGGCGGCCTTCTACGTCGCGCTCGAAAGTGACTCGAGTCCGGCTGCGACTGGCAGCCGGCTCCTTTTCCTGCCTTGCACGGGCTCCGCCCGCAGTTGGCGTACGCGATGTCGCGTCGTGCTCTCGGCGCGGGGGAGGGCTTTCGGCGCGGACGCTGGCTTCGTGCCGCTTTGCGGCCGCGTCGATCAGCTGCTGAATTCGCCTGGTCATGTAGGGGAGCTCGTCGGCCCCTACTCCGTTCAGCTCGTCTACGACCGACTGGGCGGCGCGTAGGTTCTCGAGAGGCGTGGCGTAGACTGGGCGTTCTGCCCCCAGCATATCAGCGATGGTCGCGCCGCGTTTCTTGATGACGCCGACTCGGCTTGGCCCTTCTGGAGGCGGCGTGCCGAAGGCGGCGCGGTCGACTTCGCGCTGGTGGGCCTCCGTGAGGCGTCTCATGGTGGCTATCTTCTGGCCCTCCGCAACGAGGGCAAGGCGGCGTGCTTCCAGCGTCTCGACGTCGGCGTCGGCCGGGATGGGGACGGACAAGTCCTGCAATGCCGCTTGCAGGGAGTTGTGGGTGTTCTCGCCGGAGGCGACTCCGTGGCTGATGACCAGCACCTCGGTAACGGTGCTGCCGCCACTGTCGGCCCGCGGGAGAGGATCATCGAAGACCACCACGTTGGTGGGGAAAGCGTCGAGTGATGTAGTGTCGGAGTCGACAAGCATCGGGTCGGTGGAACCGACCGACTCCAAATCCACAGCAGGCTCGCTGGAGACGTGGAGTTGGTCGAGGAGGCTGACGAGGCGGCTCTCGAGGCAGCCGGTGCCCGCATTAGATGCGGGCTCGTCGGAGATGCGAGCCTCGCCAAGGAGATCAGCGAGGCAGCTCACCGCGCAGGCGCTATCGACACCTTGCAGCTCGTCGGGGCAAGCGCCATCGGGCGTGCCGGGCTGGCTACGCTCGCGTGGGAGGAAGAGGGTTCCCGTCCAGAACAGGTCTCCGGACGACGGTGCACCTGGCCCCACGATGGGCGCCAAATGTCGGATGGTTGGTGCGACATATGCCAACGGGTGGCTTATCATTGTGGGAGCCAATAAGACGTCGCCGGTGCCTGGAAATGGGATAAGGCGAAGACATGCACGCCGGCGAATCTTACCCAGGTTCGGGGCTCTCCGTGGAGATAACACCCCTAGTCCTGCTCTGCGGGGTCTCAACATGATCACTAGATCAACAAGTAGCTACAAGAGGCTCCTTGAGCTGTTTTGGTGAGAGGAGGAAGAAGAGACAAGGCTAGCTCTCTTCTCCTTTCAAGGTTGTGTCTAAATCTATCAAGGTCCAACCCTTTGCATGGGTGCCCCGGGGGGTTTATATAGGCCTATCCCCTGGGGGTACAATGGTAATCCGGCTGGGCCTGGGCCCAGCTGTCAGTGTCTACGCTGGCCGGCTTCTCCGCCAACAGCTGGGGCCCGCCGACTGGTGGGTCCCGCCGGCTTCTTGGTAGACAGGTAGGCCCCACCGCTTAGGGGTCTTGTCGGGGGCTGGTTACTGTCGCCTCACCTTTGATGACGAGGACTTGGTCGAGGTAAGCGTGGCTACAATGCCGCCGCCTCGCGGGCGCTCATTGTAGCCTTACCTAGTCTTGTCTCCTTAATGGAGCTCATTCTTCGAGGGAGGGATCAAGCCGGCTGGGGAGAGCCGGCTTCACCCCTGACCGACTAGGGGGCGCGCGGCCGCCTTCGGATGTCCCTCTGGCCGAAGGGGCCCGCCGCCTGCGGGCCGTACCGTCAGTTTATCGTGGGTGATGTCATGGTCAGCATGGCAGCAGTGCCACGCCGGACGGGTCATGACCACCCCGTACGGCGTACTGTAGCCATGCGAGCCCCGGGTTTCGGGGGCGGCGTATCTTACTGTTGTCACGCCCTGTCTCGTCGTCAATACGCTGGAACAAACTCCGAGTGCTTGATCTGGGCCGTCTATTGGGGGCCGGCTTCCTGGAGTCGGCCATGTGATGGCTGGCTTATGGAGTCGGCCATGTGGTGGCCGGCTTTATGGAGTCGGCCAAGCGGCGGCCGGGTTTCTTTGGGAGGGCTTCTCGGCCAGGCCGCCCCGGTAGCCGGTCAAAGGGGTAGCCGGCCGGGGGAAGGCGGCCCTGCGTCTTGGAGGTTTGACGGTTCGATCAGCCTTATTATTTTTTCAAGAATCAGGGGGAGCCGGCTAGGCTACCCGTGGTCATTTACTCCGTCAGTTATGTTCAATTCTGACGCTGCCATTTTTTCTGAGCTTGACAGATCAGGCATAGCGGTCATTGCTCGACCCAATTCTTGGTTTTTTCGAGCCGGAGATGGCCGAGGCTATAGCTCTCCAGCGAGCTGTTCATTTGGCATTGGAAAAGCAAGTAGTTGATGTTATCCACACACCCATAGAAGTATGAAGGAACGAGAGTGGGTGGGTGGCTCTTGAATCCTGATAGAAGCAGCTTGCTTCTGTCGGATACCCCTTCCTTGCTGCGGTCCCCTGTACTGTATCCATCTCTCGACTCGGATCTTTTCCATCTCTTTCTCTTCCAACCTAATCTGCGCGCACAACTCCGGCCATCGCCGCCCGGGGAACCGAAGAGGGCCCGGCGAGCGGGAGCCGAGCTGCTTGCCCTCCTGCATAGAGCATAGTCGATGACTTGGACGTCACCCGCGCCCACCCCATGTTCGCCAGAGAGACCAGGACGGCTAAATCGTCCTCCGCTTCGTCTTGGAAAATCCAAGGTCCGCGTCGGCGACTGCCCCGCGCCGAGGCGTTCCTGGACATCCTCGCGGGGCGAGGGGGTGCCGTCGCACGGTGGCGGAGATGTCCCACACAAGCAACTTGGAGTCGGCATTTCAGCGAGCACCTAAGGGGCGTCCTGAATAAGCTCGCACGAGCAACCTACGTACCTAGACGATGCAGGGGCGGCGCACTAGTCGACTGGTGCCATGACGGGCGGCAAGCCGGCGGGAGGAAGAAAGGATCACCTGAGTGCCCGCCCTCGTCATCCTTGGCTCCGGCCAAGGCCCGGTGCCGCCGTTTTTTCCTCTATCCTGAGGTTAGTCTCTACTCACAAATTGTGCTTACCTGGGGCATACCATTGATGCGGCGATCACATACCTGGTAAAAAATGGATTGCACTCCAAGCTCTCGTTATAAATCTGAAGCAACGTGCATTACTAGCTGCAAAGGGGAGGGGGGACATTTAGACAGACAAGTCTTGCATGATTTACATGGTGGCTATTCCAAGTCAACAATAGTACCATACAGCTTTCGCTGCCGACAGGACTTCTCTGCCTTTAGACAAGTCTTCTTTTTTGCTTTCCAGCTAAGGTCACCATCAGAGCAGAAATTGGCTTTTGTGTACACAAATACTCCCTTCGTCTCAAAATAAGTGTCTCAATCTTAGTACAATTTTGGCTTTTGTGTACGATGTGAGGGCTGCCTCTGGGAGGCTACTGGACGTGGCTGTTGGGATGTGAGAGCCAGACAGGACCAAACTTCTTTGGCGAATGGGCAATGCAGAATCAAATGGTTTGCAATTGGAGCACTTGATCACAGAGCTTGCAAGCATCATCATGGTCCATCCCAATTCCCAAGGCTGTTAGTCGATCAGCTGCACAGGAACCATATGGAGAACTGTCACTTTCCTTCCACCTTGGCTCTCCACTCAATGAATTCTGCTTCTGTGGACTTCTAGCGAGAAATTGGAAATCATAAGCAGTCTTTGCTGAATACTGCCCATCGGTGGTAAGCTTCCTGGAAACTGAGCTTGGTTGTTGACCGAGAACGACACTCTGGGTCAAGTTTCAAAGTCCAAGGCAGTGCATCAGTTGAGCTGGAATGAATAAAATAGGCAAGCAGTCTATCAAGGGAGAAAACGCCCAGTCAATCCTCTCTTAATTTTCAACACTAGTGACTAGTATGCATTCTGTTAACTGATCCATCATTCAGAACTATAATGGCGTTGGGTGTGTGTACCTTTCAAATAGCCTAGATAGTGTAAAAGAAGGAGCCTTACTAATTTGAGGTGGAGTCCTGTTGCTTGCCAGCCTAAAAATCTCTATATCCAAGCACCACCACGAGTTACTCACAAAGTTCAAACTCCCATGCTCCTTCCAGCTCTGGGTGGCTGGGTATTCTTCCAAGCTCCCATCCATGGCTCCTCTTGCCTTCCTCCTCCTATTCGGCCAAATCCTACTCTGCACAGCCATCGACACCATCAACTCCACCACACCGTTGTCCGGGTCACAGAAGATTGTGTCCCAGGGCAGCAAGTTCACCTTGGGCTTCTACTCTCCACCACTTTCCGCTACTACATAGCCATATGGTATAGCACTGTACCACTGGTGACCACCGTGTGGACGGCAACCACCGACGTGGTGGTGTCTGACCCGACCACCGCCTCCTTGGAAATTGCCGGCGACGGCAATCTTGTCCTCCGTCATATAGCCACGAACCGGCAGCTATGGTCGACTAATTTAAGTATAGCCTCCAACTCCACCATGGCCATCATCAGGGACAGCGGTAGCCTGGAACTAACCGATGCCTCCAATTCATCCATGGTTTATTGGCAAAGCATAGACCATCCCACGAACACCTTTCTTCCAGGGTCCAAGCTCGGGCTGAACAAAACTACGGGTCTGAGCCAGAAGCTTGTTCCTTGGAAGAACAACGTAGACCCATCTCCTGGGTTGTTCTCTCTGGAGCTTGACCCCAATGGCAGCATGCAGTACTTCATTCGGTGGAATGAATCCGTAAACTACTGGACCAGTGGCCTCTGGGACGGCAATAGATTCAGCCATATGCCAGAGATGACGGCCGATTACGTTTACGACTTCCAATTCGTCAACAACGCCAAAGAAAGCTACTTCTACTACTCGATGAAGAATGATTTAGTAGTCTCGCGGTTCATCATTGACGTGACCGGACAGATCAAGCAGCTGTCATGGTTGGATTCCAGACAGCAGTGGGTCTTGTTCTGGGCCCAGCCACGGACTCAGTGTGAGGTGTATGCTCTCTGTGGGGCATACGGCTGCTGCAGCCTTGATGCCCTGCCGTACTGCAACTGTGTCAAGGGGTTCAGCCTGAAGGTTCAGAGTGACTGGGATCTCCAGGATTATAGTGGTGGGTGCAAGAGGAACACACCATTGCAGTGCCAGACCAACTCGACTTCTGCACAAACTCCGTCTGATAAGTTCCATCTCATGGAAGATGTGCGCCTACCTGATAACGCTCAGAGTGCAGTGTCTACAAGCTCTCAGGAATGTGAGGTGGTTTGTCTGAATAGTTGCTCTTGCACAGCTTACACTTACAATTACACTGGGTGCTTTGTTTGGCATGGGGACCTGATTAATCTCCAAGAACAATACAGGGGAATTGGAGGAGGCACACTCCTCAGGCTTGCAGCATCCGAGCTGCCAGATCAGCAAAGGAACAAAACAATGGTCATTGGTTCAATTGTTGGTGGGGTTGCTGCAGTTTTGATAACCCTTGCAATTGTGTTGTTCTTTCTATCTCGGATGTGCCGCCGAGACAGGACTTTTCGGATATCCAAGACTGACTTCAGATACAGTGATCTGCTGGATGATATTCAAAGCATTGATTCACTTCTTCTTGATCTGTCAACACTAAGAGTAGCTACAAATGACTTTGGTGAAGGAACTATGCTTGGTAAAGGAGGTTTTGGGATGGTTCATAAGGTACAAACCATGCCATACGTAGAATTTATCAACTTTATATATTTACCAATGAGCGTGTATTTTTCTTTTTCCACAGGGAGTCCTGCCTGACGGTAAACAAATAGCAGTAAAAAGGCTATGTAAGAGTTCCAAACAAGGAATAGGGGAACTGAAAAGTGAACTAGTCCTGGTTGCTAAGCTTCGCCACAGGAATCTTGTGAGCCTCATTGGTGTTTGTTTGGAAGAACAAGAGAAAATACTTGTGTATGAATTTATGCCCAACAGAAGCCTTGATACCATTCTTTTTGGTACAACTTTTTCACTCCGAGCTTTAATAGTAGTAGTGCAAGTGCCACCAAACTTTCACTGCAATGCTGATACTTCTATTCTGAATGACAGATTCTGAGAAATGCAAAGACCTAGACTGGGGAAGGAGATTCAAGATTATCAGTGGAGTTACTAGGGGATTGCAATATCTCCACGAAGATTCTCAATTGAAGATAGTTCACCGGGACCTGAAAGCAAGCAATATTTTGTTGGACTTCGATTATAACCCTAAGATTTCTGACTTTGGCTTAGCAAAGATATTTGGAGGGGATCAATCAGAAGATGTCACTAGACGTATTGCCGGGACATAGTAAGCACAGTGAGCATATGGTAGTTAGGCATCAAAGTAGAACCTACAGCAACAGTTATGTTCTTCTTGCAGTGGATATATGTCGCCTGAATATGCCATGCATGGTCAATACTCAGCAAAGTCAGACGCGTTCAGCTTCGGTGTTTTAGTTTTGGAGATCGTCACGGGAAGAAGAAACAACGGCTCCTGCAACTCCGGGCAATATGTTTATCTCGTAAATCTTGTAAGTACTTAAGAACCAAAGCTAGTTAACTCTGTGCGCGGCTGAATCTCTATCATAATAACTGAACAATTTACCAATCTGGTGCAGGTATGGGAACACTGGACCAGGGGAAATGTTGTCGAGTTGATCGATCCATCCCTTAGCGGCCATCCTTCTCACGTTGACCAGGTGCTGAAATGCATCTGAATCGGGCTGCTGTGTGTGCAGAACAGACCTGAAGATAGGCCGACAATGTCGTCCGTGAATGTCATGCTCAGCAACCAGAGTGCTCGTCTCCCTTCTGTTTCCATGCCAGCCTTCTCTGACGGATGTAGTGGATGCAGTGATAATACTTCAAAAGTGGCGTCCTCGAATGGAATGACCATCACAAAGCTCGAGCCAAGATGAGGCTTGAAGCATTTGCTGAAACCAGCTTGTACTAGTGTTACTTTACTGTCTTTTAGAGATGAGCTTGATGTACCTGGTGCGTATGTTTCATGGTTATGATGAAAAGTCTTACACGCCTCCAAGGTTATCTTCAGTGTCAGTTTTGCTGTGGAATGGGATTATGGTATTGCTGCTGGAGAAAATGTCAGTAGTATTATTAGCTGTGATATGCGGCTCATACAAATGCATGTACATCAATAGTTAATTTGCAGCCTTTCCATTTTGGCTATCTTCTAATATTAGCTTTCGTTCTGTAAAATTTCACTTGCAATATAGACAAGGTTTTCATATGGATCTTGGTGGTTTTCTATGGTGCAGAGCAAACCCAGTTTTCTGCGGGTGGTGAAACAGATTTAATGCTGTCGTTGGTAGCTTGGATTTAAGACAATACTGAGACGCTTGACAGAGTGCTCATGAGCAAAGATTGAGAACAAAGACCCCTAAAACCTAGATAGGGCCCTTTTGTAATCATACCTCACTGATGGTCTACACTGAAGCAGCATCTCATAGGAGAAACCAACCTTTGTTCAAATTTGACTAGGATGGTTACTAAGCATGGCGTCTTTAACATGGGTCAAATTGCTAGGATGATGATCAATGTATTTTCGAACTCAAACTGGGTGTACATAGAAAATGATGCCCACGGGGCACGGGCTAGACTAGAAAGCCAAAAACTGCAAGGCAGATCCATTTTCCTTTCATCAACGTGTCATCCCACGCTTTGTTCGGTTTAAGTTTCAGAATCATCACTTTGTACCAATTTCAGCATTACAGAACGATTTGTCTTCCATCTATAAAATTAACTCTACATGTTTTTTCCGTCTCCGTGTTTTCGTATCATGTGTTCCAAAATAGATCCTTATGTACTACCTCTGTAACCTTTTACAAGACGTTTTTAGAGTTTATGACAGTGTCAAAAATACGTCTTACATTAAGTTATAGAGAGAGTATAGTATATAATGATGAACTGAGCACATAGCTATTGATCTTCTTTGATGGCGTTGTCAAGCCGAGTGCTGCTGCTCAAACCTATGCTTCCTCCTCCTCGAGGCGCTACCAGTCCAGCAGCATCTGCCGTGATCTCCAGGAGCCACCGGCCAAACCACACAGCTCATCTGGGACATGGCCTTCCCCTTGATCCACACTTGGGCGCCACTCGCCATGAAGCATACATGTCCATGCCCATGTCATCATAACAGCGTGATTGAAGACCAGCCATGGTCTTGCTGGGGTTCTGCTCACCGTGAAGGCCATGGTCATGGAATAGCCTTCACTATATTATGTGCATCAGAATCAAGTATGCACACACCAGACGTCCCATTCACAGAGCATTGTCTTCCATCACATCATCCTGATGATCACCGGTAACTGCAGACAGCTGCAGCAGCACATCATCAACAGGAGCAGAATCAGGACGAGACGTGAGTGACCCGACGACGAAAGAATGAACCTCCTTCTCGAGCTCGATCCAGCTCTTGCCGGTATCCTTCCTCAGACCCATCTCCCTCATCTTCTTCATAACCTTCGCTCGATCATCCCATCGGCCTTCTGCTGAGTAGATGTTTGATAGCAAGACGTAAGAAGCAGGGGACTCGGGGTCCACAAGGAGCAACTTCTCAGCCGCGTATTTCCCGATCTCCAAGTTCTGATGGAAGCTACAAGCTCCCATTAAGGCCTGCCAAAGGATAGCACTGTCCTTGAAAGGTCCGTCCTTGATGAATGACTTTGCGTCGTCTAACTGACCAGCTCGGCCAAGCATGTCGACCACACATGCATAATGTTCCACCCTTGGGAGGACTCCGTACTGCGATGACATAGAATTCAAGATCTCCAGTCCCTTCTTTGCTGATCCAACATGGCTGCAACCATGAAGTAGTGATAAGAACGTGACATCTGTGGGATTGGCACCGTCGGCTTTCATGGATTCAAACAGTTGAAAGACTTCAGAACCCTGGCCATGCCGCGCAAAGGCTGCAATGATCGAGTTCCATGAGATTGAGTTCTTGCTGGGCGTCTCATCGAACACTTGGACAGACTCTTGCAGCTCACCGCACTTTGAATACATATTGATCAGACCATTGCAGACATATATGTTCCTTCCAAAGCACTTCTTGATGACCAGTGCATGGATTTGCTTCCCAAGAGCAATTGGCGCGGAGGCACCGAATGCCCCCAGAACTGCAGAAACCATGTTTGTATCAATGCAAATTCCTTCACCCGCCATCTCAGCGAACAATTCGAACGCCTTCTCTTCCAGTCCATTTTGAGCAAATCCGACCAGAATGACTGTCAAGAAAATTTCGTCAGGCTGCCGACATGCACGGAACACACTCAGAGCATCATCCATTAAGCCGCATTTAGAGTACACATCCATGAGCCCGCTCTCTACATGGAGGTCGGTCGCGAGTCCAGCCTTCACAATAAGGGCATGAATCTGCTTGCCTTCCTTGGCTGCCAGAGATCCAGCGCAGGCTAACAGGGAGCTCGAGTATGTCGCATTGTTGGCGTCCACAGTGCGCCTCATCTGTCGAAACAACAGGATACTGTCCTCGTAGAGCTCTGCTCGAGCCATCCCAGAGATCATCGCCGTCCACGTGATGACGTTCCTCCCTGTCATTCCCTGGAACGCCCTCTTGGCCGAGTCCGGAGATCCACACTCGAAGTAGGCGGTCACTAGCGCGTTCCCGATGGACACCTCGCCCTCAAACCCACGCGAGACGACCAGCCCGTGTACCATGGCACACGCGGGGAGGGACACTGCACGCGCGCACACAGACAGGACTGTGGTGAAGGTGGCGTGGTCGCACGAGAGGCCCGAGCGCAGCATCCGCCTGAACTGTAGGAGCGCGTCGTCGGCGCCGGATGACGAGGCGGCGGCGGAGGAGATGAGCGAGTTCCAGGAGATAGAGTCCCGGACGCGCATTTCGTCGAACACCCTGGCGGCGGCGTCGTGGCGGCCGCACCTGGCGTACATGGAGACGAGCGCGTTCCAGGCGACGAGGACGTGGCGGAGGGAGGGGTGGAGCGGGCATAGGAGGAAGTGGGCGGGATTTTTGACGACGGTGGCGTGAAGGGCGGCGCCCAGGCGGTGGTCGGCGGCGCGGCCGCAGCGGGAGAGGAGGCCGCTGAGGTAGGCGTAGTTGAGGAGCGCGGGGACAACCATTTTCTTGAGGGTCATGTACATGCTCAGCTTTTATATTAACAATAATAAAAAAATTGCGGGGAAGATTATTAATTTCCGAATAAGAATAATATTGTTACTACTGTACCATATACGATACTGTAAAACATATTTAGGTCAAATACTAGCTTGAAAAACAGCCTATATTATGGGACGGAGGGAGTATTATTTTTCATCGATATTCTGTATGGTGAAAGAAATAGGATTTTACTTTTTTGCGGGTAAAAAATAGGATTTTACTATTTATTATTTTCTCTCTTGATTCAAATTAAGTTTAAAATTTGTGTGTTGGAAAACTCAAGTTTGACCATTAATTTAACATACTAAATGTGTTTTATCTTTCATAAGAATTATATCATGGTATTCGTATTTGGACAAAGTTTTGAATGATATGATTTTTATGACATATAACAAATATATTTTCATCAAATTAACAGTCAAGGTTAAATCATGCATTCTCGCAAAAAAAAATTAAATCATGCAGATCACATGAGCAGACGAATACTCACATTTACCAGTGAGCTTTCTAACTTAACGATCATCCCCTTTTGCGAAAATGGCCAAAGCCACTATCTCCTTGATCCTTTCGACATAGCGGGGCGTGTTGCGGGTCGCCAAGTTGATATTTCAGGCGGCCACCACCTTTGGATCCTCCTCCTCCGGCTCCAGCAACGCTACGAGCGGATCCATGCGGTGGCGGGCGACGAAAAGGGCGGGAACAAGGGTGGAGAGTGACAGCAATCGGCTGGAGAGGGTGGCGATGCGCGGGCTTGGTGCGGAAACAATGCAGATATGGCCAAATGTGCGGGCTCCGGGTGGGGATTTGGGTGGACCGGGATTGTTGGAGTCCTACGTGGAGGAGGTCCGGTCTCCCGCAAATCTGCCCCAACTTTGGATTTGGTTTGCGGGATTTTGAACGCGCAGACATGCCCGGGGACGTATGCGGCACCACATTGGATGGCAAAAAAAATGTCCGAATGTTTTGCACACGGATTGGAGATGCACTAAGTATGACTTAAAAAGCAAACATATAGTGAATGAGAGCAAAATAACTGCATGTTCATTATTTTGCAGCAGCGGTTCAAATACTGCCTTCGGTTTAGGTGTGGCTTAAAATAAAATGTTACATAAAGGAGGGTAAATGAATCATATTTTCCTGAATTTATGTCGGTAGTTCAAATAGACCATTGAATTTCAGTATTTTGGTACATCTTGTACAACAAAAATGTTGTATTTTTTATCAAACGTTTTGGTTTGCGACATAGTTTGCATCGGCCAATCGGCTACAATGTCAATCGTATCGCTCTTTTAAGACCACACCTGGTCTGAGCAGAGTATTCGATTTTTGAACCTTGATCATAGCAAAGAAAATAATCCAACAAAATTTCTGATTTATTGCACTTCTGAGAATTTAAAGAATCGTTTGTTACCTAGTTGTACAAAGGGCGGCCAAGGGCCACAATCCCCCGAAAAATGTTGATGAATGGAACATTCTGTGATTTTAACATACAACATGCTCTAAATTACACCTAAGCTAAAGCTTCCAGCATTGAGATACAACAAAATACAACATGGCTCGGTTTTTGCCACTGTCAAGTGTATTTGCCACCGGGTAGATGGAAAAAACCCACAGGCGTTATTACCATTTTTCGACTGAAACCCCCCATGCTTGGTTTCACCGGGGCGCTCTTGGTTTCTAGGACGGAGCGATAGCAGTTTCTCACGCCCACAGCAGACAATCAACACCCAGTTCAAAGTTTGTCACGGGACTGTCGCCGAAATCCTCGCCTTGGTTTTGGACATCATGGTTTGTGTCGACGTAGGGCTCAGATAAATCCAATGACCTTACAGAGGGGATGGCATGCTCCTTTTGGATATCTGATGACGCGGCCTCTGCTTCTTCCCGATCCAAAACAACGAGGAAGTCATCTTCGAATTCAAATGTCAAGAACTTGTCTTGACAGGCTACACATTTGTATTAACGGTAAGATTGGCATGAATAAGTGGCTTTAGAAGGTTATTCAACAGGAGGCAGCCGGTACTTACTGTCCACTAGATGAGCAAGGTGGTGGATGTTCTTTATCATAGTTCCATTTAGTTTTATGACCTGATAAAATTATTGATTAAAAGGAACATTAGCTGAATGCAAATGCATAAGAAGATGGCTAGAAGTGGAAGAGACAAGAGGTTTACTTGTTGATTGCCCATGTGCTCATACCCGATGTTGACATCGTTCGCCAGTACCTGGACAACATTGATAACTTAAGAACGTGATAACACGCAGCACTAATACTAGTCAATTCATCTAACCACGAAATACAACACACCTGAGATACAATTACAATTTGCTCCCCTTCGAAGGTTGATAGAGAGTATCGTGCCTTCGCCAACAATTTTAACTGTACACAAAGACAAGATATCAATAACAGTAATAGATTGCAGATCTTCCGAAAAGGTAAGCTGCAGGCAGGATGGTCATGTGGAATGATCTTACCCCTAAAGTATCTTCACACTCTTCCCTGCAAATGAAGATAAATTTACGTGTTAGTAACTACAACCTTTCTGACACCAAGCACGGATTGAAAGAGGAAATAGTTGGTTACTTACTCTATAAATGGTTCTGTTAAAGGCGTGAAGACAAGGCCGGCAACTATCAGGTAAGAAGGTTGACCCCCATCAACATTGAATGGCACCTTATTTGAGGATGAAGAAAATTGTGAAATCGGTGAAATTTTTACATTTCTAGTTTTAGCCCATGAAATGATCAAGGGTTACAGTGTCTTACCAAATGTTTTCTTGGATGCAAAATGGTTTGCACTTTCATGATGTTGCCTCCCCGAATGATACCTAGTTGGGCAACATCACCTGCATACCTGATTAATAAAATAACATTGTTTAGTGCAGTTCATGCTATCATGTTGGAACATTTTATTTTCTTCAGATGTTAAAGGATGTCACTAGTGTCAAATTCATATGATCCACATACAGATTAATGGAACAAAATTGCAATGCCTCAGATGGAAAAGGCTTGTAACTTTGGTATTCAGATCAAGAGGGAGCTTCGTAGGCATTACACAAGGGTTTTAGGCAAATGAAGAACAGTGCACATATAATAAAAGACTGCTTAGTTCTCCATGATTTTGCACTACTGAATCACTAATGAAGGTTCAGAAGGTAACATGAAATAGAAACATGTCAATGGGTGATTGCATGATTTTCATTTTACCCATCCATACAAATGACAGAGAATGTGACATCTATATGCATCTGTACACATGTTGAAACAAAGCCCACTGGTTATGGCTGTCAAAATATAGATTTGTGGTATTGTGCCATTATGAAATTTCAGACCACTAGAAACTGGTGAAAAAAAATGTTCTGCACTAGAACAGAACATAAATAAATTAATAAGGTTAGGAAAGGCACTTCAAGATGATTAAGAAAATGATAGTACTTGTGAGGAATAAGATAAAGCACTTACTTTTGACTTGTGAGGTAGCGGAAAGCAATTCGCTCAGTGGACCGAAATGGTACTGTTCCTTCACATCCTACCGAAACACCATCGAAACTTGTTATCACATCTCCCTGGAGAAAAACAAACACCTGATCAGCTTAAAAAGGAAGCAAATGTAGCAAATACCGTTCTGGTAACTATTAATTCAGAAAGATTCATTTGCGCGAAGAAAACCTAAAGGTAGCAAGTCTATGAACTCCATCTAAGAGATGCAGATGCACTTTACCTTTCGCAGAACACTGCTGGCTGGAGCTGTAGGCTCAACCCGGCGGACAAGAACACCCTTCAACCAATTAAAATGGCATGTTATAGGAGAATAATGAAAAACGTAGAGAACTATTCAGTGGTAAGGACAAAACTGAGAGTAGTTTTCAGAACATACGTTTGTTGGATATAAATCAGTATCTCTTTATTTAACTGTAGCATTTTGTTATGTAGGGAAAATGGGTTATTGTGGTGTAATCTCTACCAGACATAGATAACAGAATCCTACACAACACACTGACTACTCTCTGCTAATACAGATGTACATCTGCATTTAGACAGTAGACACGATACAAAGTGCTGCCGTCAATGACATGGATCTCACCAGAAACTACTGGCTAAACCATATGGAAATACATGTGCCTTTCTGTGTATGAGAGTTTGTTCGAAAATCTCTAATAAATATCCATATCCACAAGCTGAAGCTGAACACATATTGATAGCATACCTCACTTGAAGGCACCTTCAAGCTTTCACGCAGTGCTGGGTTTTCCAATTTCTGAAGTAGGACGCCCAGGCAAGGAAATCCTGCATAATGTCTGAACACATTGAGGACATCAACTTGAACATACAACAGCAACTTCACCCTCCGAAAACAAGCATCTTATCAGTCATCACACAGTTTTACTAATGAATGCATGTTCGGTGAGTACACATTACGAAAAACTTGTAAATATATTTAGGGGGTGAAAAAGGCTTCAGAAAAATGCCAAAATTAATACAACGCTAAAGTTTAACAGGGAGCCCGACCAAACAAATTTTGCAAGCAAATGAACAGACTGTAATAAGTTATATGTCAATGTATAATTAAGTACTTAAGGCACAGTTTTTGGTTTTGTTTCCAAAGATATATGTACGTTACCTGTGTATTTTCCATTTTTCCGATAGTCATTCAAGAAATGGGATACAACTGTGGTTGGAATAACATATCCAATATTTTCAGCTTCATCTGACCTGAACACCTAAACAAAAGACAGCATGAAGAAAGGGAATAGAAATACAAGATAAACATTCAACAGTGCAGACACATATCTGGGTAAGTACATTCATACCAAATGTACTTAACCATTTGATGTTCATCAAAATTACAAATTAACAGGGCTTTGAGTGTATCTTTCAGGCTTGCTAATAAAAACTTTGGGAAAGATAGTCTTTTATTTGAGTAGAAAAGCAAAGTGGTCATCACTTACAAAAATGTTAAATGATGCAATTCTAATCCATGATTAAGTAAATCTGATCTGAGTTGATACAGCAAAGCCATATAACCTGGAATTTTCTGAACCCAAAACCAAAACACTTCCCCTCATGTCTAGATGGAAGCCGCAACTATTTTTATTAATAGCACGGTGGCTACCTCTTGAACTTGAGACCTTATGCCTCTGATACCATCTGAGGAAACATTAAACTTGTATTTCCATGAGGCCATAGACCGTATGTACTCACACTGACACACATACTGGTGTGGTAAATAACTAAATATGCAGATAAACCCTTATACAACAGGGATATTACATGGCTAATAAAACCACGACAAGTATTTTAGAACTGAGGGAGTACATCACTTATATCCACAGTTCCACACATCAGCTATGTAAGCAAGTAATCAGTGAAAGTACCTGAAATGCTACTCCAATGCATTCCCCTTGCTCATTAAAAGCCGGTCCACCACTGTTTCCTGCCAGAAAGCAGACAATACCAAATACAATATCGATGCTTAATATGCCCTCTTCAAAAAAAAAAAGAGAGGAAAGCCCTTCCTAAAGCAAATCACAAGTTCAAGGTAAAAGCAAACCTGCGTTTATTGCTGCATCAATTTGAACCCCAAGAAGATCTGATGTTCCATGCGCATATGGTGTGACCTGGGCTATTCCAAAGGTAAAATAGTATAAGTGCAACTATAGTAAAGCAATATTAAATGCGAATATCAATATACACCTCTGAAATAATTCTGAATTTACTGTAACTTCGGTGAGTGGCATGGAACAGAATGACCTCTATTTTGCACCCCCTTCGTTTGTTTCATAAGGCGTATACGAATTTTGGTCAAACAAGGTCATGAGACCAAGAGAATAGTACAGTTGACCTTTTGAAACGAAGCTACTGTAATTATAAGCCTAATATTTGGAGACAGACGGAGTAACTGATAACTACTTACCTACCAAACTAGTTAAAACTATTTAGCTAATGTTAGAAGCTGAGGGTCGTTTTCTGACAGCAACAAAAACTCGTGAGCAACTATTCCAGAAAGACATGTTGATAACTATCATGGAAAGCAGTCTAATTTGTTTCCACATCCTAGAAACATGCGCTGGAGAAAAAGAGAGTATTAGCTATCGAACAGCTATACAAACATACAAGGAGTCGAGGACTTTTTGGATAGCTGAGAAATAGGGCAATCATTGTATGCATGGAACACCATCACTTTTCTCCTTGTTAGGGGAAGAGTCCTTTCAAAAAGTGCAATGTAAAGAAAACTTAATGAGCCAAGAGATAGCACCTCAATGCGTGATACAACGCCTTTTGTCACAGATATAGTGTCTCCACCAAGAGGATACCCGACAACAGTTACTGAATCCTGAGATAAACCATCAGAACAATGTCAGATGGCAAAAGAAATGGAAAAATGATATATCACTCAATATCAACCCAGTATTGTACATATCTTTACAAATGTAACTACAAATAGTACTCCCTCCGTCCGAAAATACTTGTCATCAAAATGAACAAAAAAGGATGTATCTAAAACTAAAATACGTCTAGATACATTCCTTTTTATTCATTTTGATGACAAGTATTTCGGGACGGAGGGAGTAATAACGAAGGCCTGGTTCATTTGACGCTACTGTCACTTTTTCAGTAAGTACATGGTACATTCGAACGTTACATAGTTAATTACCTGAAGACATGGCAAACGACCAAGTTGAAGTGGTTCTGTACCTCGCCAGAACTCTTCATTCTCGACAGAGAGCATCGCAAGATCACATTCTGTGCCTCTAGCTAAGACCTGTAAACTACTTAATCAGACAACCAAACCAGATTTTGGAAGAAGTTAATTAAAGTTGCAACTAATAGCAAACCTTTCCAAATGTTAGACAATCAAAAGATATTAGTAACATTAACTAGTAGCAAACCTTTCCAAATGTTAGACAATCAAATCATCATCCGATGAACTTATTATTTTCTCTTTAGATTTGTAGGCAATCCTATGTGCCTACTGTAGAGACTCAGACCTTACCAATCTAGAGGAATGTGGCCAATCAAAAAAATTGGCAAGCCAGATTTGATATGCGCAAGAGAACATAACAGTAACAGCAGGATTCAGGAGTAAGAGGTTTACTCATTGGTGAGGGAGTGTCTTATATAAGAACGCTCTAAGCATGTGCCGATGTTCAGGTAATCCAGATTATGTGAGCACACTTTTGGATAAAATGTCGATAAAGCAGCATAGTCATAGGGAGAGTACCTTGGCGACGTACTTTTTGTCATCTCCTCTTCGCTTTACTTTAATCTGTATATAAAAGAAGACTTAGTTTAATATTGTAAATGGCATAACTAAATCATTAGCCGCCAAAAACAAATGGTACAACATATTGAATTATTGTCAGAACTTTTGAATTAGTCTACTCTAATCCGTACTGGTTATTCAAAACTCCAAAACTAAATAATCCCAAAAATTTCAGAGAAAGCAATTTAGAGTCAAAATACATGTTAATGGTTGAACTGAAACTTCACAGTTTTAGAGCCACGACAAGATTTTAGCCAAGTTGGTGCAGTTCTTGCATTACTGGAGCGCCTCAGAGCTGAAATTAGCTTCATTCTGTTTACATCCCATGCTATGATGTGATCATGTGGATAGTACACCCAGCTAAATAAGAATATAAGATTTTTTTAGCCAGGTTTCGGGACAACTTACAGGTCATTCAAACTAAAATCAGTGACATAATTGATTGTTCTGCCTAAGAAGAATGTTAGGAAGCAATGCTTATTCAAAAGAAGGTATATACAAAAATGTGGATCCAAAACTCTGTTATAAAATAAAAAGAAGAAATTCATAGGTATGTCTAATTAAGTAAGCACCTGGGTGTCATGTTCAACGCAATGTGCATTTGTCAATAGTTTGTTATCACCAATCATAAAGGCACTGCAAAAGAGATGTGTATTAAGATAAGCAGAAATTCTAAATTCAAGACACGAGGATCACCACTAAAATTATAATTGAAATGAGTGACTGCATCCAGATATGCAGATAAAGGTTAAGGTATAAAAGTGAGACTTGCTTGTTCAAGACTTCAAAAAGGATGCCGGCCTTTCAGAATGAAACAACAACCAGATATGTGTTACAATTTACTTGTGAAGTTGTCCAGTCAGTTTGTGAAACATAACACAAAAAAGGAACACTACATCACCCATCTAACATCATTAAATCAATATATCCCTAACTGCAGCATATTGAATCCAAATGCTTAAAGCCAGTACCCTTTCCCATCCACTCACTAAACACACAGGACAAGGGATGTCAATAGTCAGTGCCGAATATAAAAAGGTAAATGAAAAGAACTACCATAAACAATCTGAAACACTAAAGATCTGACGTCAGATTTTTAGGCATGGCAAATCTGATGTGTTCATGGCAATTTATGTTGGTGCGATGATGGCAAATTTAGTTTGCAAGCACAACAATTTTCTAACAAAAAAATGAATTGAGGTGGATTTGCCATGCTCGCCAACTAAACTTGCCATCCTCGGAGAACATAATTTGCCATGAAAATCGTTTGATATGCCATGGTAAATAAACTGACGTGAAATTTGTAGCGCAGTCCTAAACAACGTAATCAACTAATCATATATAAGTATGAGGCCAATACTTGCCTCCCAGTGCTTGAATGTTGCCTTTGCTTCTGCCAAGGAAGCCCATAATCAGGTCTAATATGAGTGCAGTAGACCTAACAAGAGATCAAATAGTTAAGCCTGACAGACATGGTTAATAAAAATAAAGCACAGACTACAACACAAAATCAAGGTAACATGACCTTTTGACTTTGATCAGGCTAGAGCACTATGCTTGACAGACATACTTAATTACTTATACACACAGTACATTTATAATACCATAAGCAGCATCTAGCACAGATATCAAGTTCCCTCACTAAACTAGCATTGTCTAGCATCATTGACAGCCAGGACATATTCTTGAGACCCACCTTAACAACAGCATTAAGGAATTTGTCCTCTTCAAGATCCTCGAAATCAGCAACCTAGCACAGCACATAGTTAGCAGAAAATACATGCAACTTATGATGTCATCGATCACAACACTGAGTGCGACAAAAGAGTTTGCAGCAGTTTACCACAAAAAACAGAACATTTGTGGATATAAGAATTGGGAGATATTAGTGTGATTGGTAACAATAGCTAATACGTCCACAGAAATAGATCACAGGGCAGTAAGAACACACATTAAGGATCTCAGAGACGCCGAAGGAGAATTGAGAGATTCTAGACAAAAGTGTAGGCATGAGTAATTGCTGCAAAGGTGAACTTACATGGCAAACAAAAGGAAATGTGGCTCTATCAAATGGTGAATCCGGCAATTAAGACTGCAATGTTCAACTTGCATACCCCGAAAACAGATACATACGACAATGGAGAGTACTGAATTGTAGTACGAAGCACCCACCCAATCCAAACAGCAAAACACTACCCTACCCTGCTTACAGAACCAGGAAGCAATTCGATACTACTCCATCCGTCCCATAATATAAGATCGTTTTGCAAGCTAAACAGAAATGGGTATTTTGAAATGTTGTGTTTTACATACAGAAATGTTGAAATCTAGATGGAGCCAATTGGAATGTCCATCCTAAATTGGAGTAGTACGTAGTTCTACTTTAAACTCTTAGCACTGTACAATGTGGACAACCAAAGACATGAAATTTCATTGCGCTTCGTACCTGCGACTCCTTGAAGTCGACGGAAAGCCCCTTATCCTTGCGCGTTGACGACGCCAGAGAGCCCCCTCCGCCGCCACCGCCGCCTCCGCCGCCAATGCCACCGCCCCGCCGCTTCTTCGACGCCCCCTCCACCTGCGAACCACCCCAAACGAGACCCAGCACGTCAGACAAGCGGCCCCTCGACCCGTTTCTCGGGGACACGGGCGGCCAACGAACGGAAGAAGCGCACCTCGTCGAAGCGGCGCGTGACGCGGCGGGAGGCGGGCGGGTGGCGCGGCGCGCAGGCGACGGCGGGGCGGAAGCGGCAGGAGCATGACGGTGAGGAGGAGGCGGAGGTGGAGGGGAAGGGGAGGGCCGGGGAGGCGAAGAGGGCGGCGAGGGCCGCCATTGCTTCTGCTGCTGCTGCTGCGCGTGCTTCGAGGGCGCGGTTTGATTGATTTGGGTTTCCCTCTCGCCGCGACGAGGGAGCTCAGCTCCTTATCCTCTCTTCAGCAGAGCTGAGAGAGAGTGGAGCAAGCAGGGGGAGCACGTGCGGGGCGCGTGAGATAAGGGATTTCGTAAGGATAACTGGCCGGAAGGCCCAGAAGTACCGCGTACCACCAGTCCACCACGTTGGTCGGCCCATTTAGCACTTCCTCTACTTCCATTTCTATTTGTTTTTCCTTTTTTCTCTCCATTTTTTGTTTTTTTCCTTTTTTATGTTTTATTTTCATCAAAAATGAAATCCTTATGTGTTCAACTTTTAATTTACTGTTAGATACAAAAAAATCCCTATTACAAGTTTTTTTTATTTTGTGGGTAATACATAAATGATTTTTCAGAGATAAATGCACAGTTTTACTTCACCTTTTTTTATTCGTATGTTTCCCTTTTGATTTTTTTGTTTTGATGTGCATGAGTATCTATTCTGAGATACAAAAACATTTATTCTGGAAGAAATTAACAGTTTTTCCACGCTACTAACATCCTTTTGAGATATATGAACATTTTTTCACACATAAGAACATCTTTAGGTAAACACATGCACATTTCTTTTTTCAAATACATGGATATTTACTTTAATATATATGAATATTTATATTTTATAGAAATTCATATTTCAAAAACAATTTATAAAATTAGAAGAAAGCAGACATAATATTAAGATTTATAAAAAGTTAAAAAGTTAAAACATTATTTCTCAATGGGTTGTGCCAAATCAACATGGCAATAGGTACCCGCTAGCCGCGAACCCGACGGTTAAAAGCCCTATTAGGGTAAGGGTTTGGAAAAATTAATTACCCATGGTTTTATAAATGGGAACAAATATACCCATCGGGTAAGCCAGGTACAAGTATGGAAAGGCAATACCCATACCCGCGTATCCGCAGACCCATATGCTTATTCATTATGACAATTAGGCCCTATATGTGTCATCGACTAAAAATGTGAAAACCCTAGTGTCGCTTTACCCAGCCGCAGCCTCGGCCGCAAATCCCTCCCCGTACCCCTCCCGCGTCGTCAATCACACCACAGAAACTCCCTTGCCCCATCTCTCTCTCTCTCTCTCTCTCTCTCTCTCTCTCTC